GGCAGTTCCTCCGGTGTTATTTGAGTATTCAGATATATTTGCGAATACAACGTTTCCAACGGCGAGGCGGAGGCAGAGCGACATTACGGTGAAGACGCCTGGGCTTTGCAATCCGACTGGCTGTGATGTTGCTGTGTTCATTTCAGCTTGTCATGTTCTGGCCGCCGAGCAACAACCAGTGCCTGGACAGAGACTATTGTCCACAACAGTTGGAAGCGCATGCGAAGACATACCTTTCTGTCCTGTATGATAACAACTTCAATAATATAAGGACGACAATGAGAGAAGGTAGACCGCCTTGAGCATTGCTGGAATTCGGTTGCTCTATCGGTATTGGAGCGAGTGTGGTTGAAGAGCAATGAAAAGTCCCCGACGGGCGCACGTGGTTTCACAGAGAGACTCGGAGGGAGTACGGTGTGGGCTATGTGTAGAACAACGAGGATGGGTCTGCTTGCTGAAAAGCACTGAGCGCAGAGGTCAGACCAAGAACTGGTCAAGAAATGCAGACGACTCATCTCGTCGCCATCGAAAAAATCTGGCAGTACTCGGCTGCAATCCCTGAGCTTGGCTAGACCGTGTAGCATCACTGTGAGATGTCCATGTCAGAACGGTTGAAAGATCAAGAACTTGTCACATACATTCATTAACAACTTTTGAGCTAGGACCTGCAACTTAAAGCGGGGATTAATTTGAAAAGCCATATGATACAAGGGATCGCGATGTAGTATCAGTACGTCACATTCGCAACCAGTGACTGTGTAATCTGGTTCAACAGCAGGTCTGCGGCGGTCGTCGGCCACTACTATCGAGTCAAGAATGGACTGGTTCGAGGCCCGGCAACTAAGTCGTTCCCGGGGCCGTATGTTTATTCTCCGCGTTATCTAATATTCCGTATATCACACGCTTCGACAGTACTATAGACGGGGGTTTCTGGTGACCTGGTCGTTGACCACATCCAGGAAAACTACTGATACTCACACAAACCCAGTAATAACAGTCTGCGCATTCTCCGTCAGACCCGCAAAACCAAGGACAGTCCCCGACGAACTGTCAACATGTTCAATTGAAGGTCCGTGCGTAATACATATCTTATTGCTCATGTATTTCGTACTTCGCCACACTCGAACCAACTTCAATATTTCAAAAGTCCACTTGCCTGCGACTCGAAGTTTTAATGAACTCTCCTCTCACCATCATCAGTGCATTATTACTATTGTCGACTGACTTAGTCGTCGCCTGCCTACCTTGAATTCTCTCATCCCTTTCTTCCTCGTCACGACGACTCAAATGATGTGAGTTTTTTTGCCTTGGTCGTGTCAATACTAGATGAAAACGTTCGAAACAGGGCGCATATAACCACTCCGAGTCATTCAACTCAATCTTCTAGTACCTGACATGTCTCGTGCCACACCAGTACATTTGTTTTCAGTACTGCTACTCTGATTCACTGATCTGTTGTCAGCCTAGGTTTTGGATGTTGCTTCGAGCTTTGTGACATCATGAGGACTTCTGCTCATTATGGTTCGGGCACCAACGAATGCTGTCAAGCGGTATCATTTTCATTCATTTCATCGTGCTCTATTCTTATTGTTACAGAACTATGACATTGAAGCTTCGAATCTGGTAAGTACTGATCCTATTCCTATTAATGTATGCTCATTTGTGTATTCCATCTAGGTTACTGATCGCATGTCGTCCGCAAATACGGTCAAAGTCCCTGCAAAGTTCTCTAGCGGCACGTTTCATTAGCCGGGCACCGGGGTCGGACAATCCTAGAGCCTAGAGGGAGGAGCTCGCGCGAATGAGCGCGGGTAGATTCTATTCCCATGTTTTGTATTGTATGTCATGTTGCAATGCATCGATTTCCGTATATTTGCGTCGAAGCCAGCAAAATATCAAAGGGATACACAGTATATTCAAATCTACGGAATTCTATCCAGTAGTCAATGCATTGAAAAGCATACACCAGCGTTGATGCGCATCGTTTTCGCAGCTACGGAAAGCGCAGATACCGACGTGTATCTACGCAATAAGAAGTGTCACAGTATATCTGCGTTGCTGCGGGCAGTGGAAAACCGTATGTCCGACTTTCATTGGGCTTAAGTGCTGGCAACATGCTGGCATTGTAGATTGTTCGAGCGCACGCACGAACAGGCAACAGGGACTCCAAAGAAGAATATAAAAGCCAGCCGGCTTCCTACAATCGCCTTCAGAACTACCTGATCCCATATCACGAGTCACAAACAATGCGTTTCTCCTCTGCCGCAATCGTCCTCGCCGTCATTACTGCTCTAGTATCATCAACCTCTGCCATCCCCGTTACCGGTGATGAGGCTAGCGCCGATAAATGTTGCCCGTGGTGCATTCATGACTCACAATGCCAGAGCAACCTCTGCTACAGCAAACAATGCGTATGTATCAGCATCTTCCTGGACTTGATAACATGACTCACCTGCATACAGTTGCTCTTTATTTGCACCGTGAGTCGTGTTTTTGCTTTCACATCGGTGCAGTATGGCAGTTGACACCGACGCACGAATTACTAGTGATTTACAGAATTGGTCAATGCGCATAAGGAAATCACATGTCCACTTCATGCAGCTCTTCGCATATCGGAGTTGGCATGAAATGTTCGTGAAATATAGGGAATGTTGGACTGAGATAAGACGTGCAAGGACACAATAATTATACTATCAGGGGGCGTGCACAGCGCACCTCACTGTTGGTGTGATATAGACAGACTCAAAGATCAAATAAAAGTATGTGTGCGCATGATGGACCTAATAAAACACACCTAGGTCACGCATAATCATCAGTGAATCGGTGAACAGATGACAAAGCTATTTAAAGCAATATATTTTGGAGCATCACAACATTCTACGTAAATTTGCTGACCGCTCTCACATGTAAATGTTTGGCAATGTCGAGAAAAGACCGATTTAAAGGCACACCAGCGAAGTAGCATTATTTGCTGAGTAGGCGTTTCCACTAAGATGGATCTAAGAAAAAACGAATCGGTGCATGTTCATGAAGTTGAATACAGACCGAGGTTACAAGGGAACAAGAAGGAGATTGTGATGTATGAAGGTGAAAGATATGCTGGTGATGTCCATAGTAATGCAGATACATAGCGTTCGGTCCCCAAGTATTATTTTGTCACTAGCTAAGAATGACCATGACCTGCATGTGACTTGTCCGAGGGTTCAAAGTGTAAGCTTATGTTGCAACAGGATAGTGGCAGTAGAGTCGTGCGTATTGCATTTCTATTTGCCAGCCGTCACTCGCAACAATACATTACATGAGGAGCAAATTGTATTACAAAATATATCACAGTAAATTTTATCTCTTGATGGACACCGAGATGCACATCAGTAAATTGGTGAACAGATAAGAATGGTATCAAATGTCAGCATGCAGCTGAAGACTCACAACTTGGTGCCGGACTCAAAACACTTCAAGAGAAATCTTCTTCTGGCGAAGCCTTCGGGAACTAACGTCACGGCACGTAATCGTCAAATGACCTTTATGGAGTAAGTCGGTGCATTCTGGTCAGCATTGGCAAATGTGAATAATATTCCGAAGGCTGATCAACTGACATCGTATATTCAACCAATTGGGGGGACTCCAATCATTCATGAACTTGATCCTGACTAACATCACGGCACGTAATCGTCATGACCTTTATGGAGCAAGTCGGTGCATTCTGGTCAGCATTGGCAAATGTGAATAATATTCCGAAGTTGATCAACTGACATTGTATATTCAACCAATTGGGGGGACTCCGATCATCCATGAACTGGATCCTGACAACAGGATCCTTAGTGTTTGAGGAGACGAAAAGGTATGTTTAGTGATACGAACGACAAAACAACTTATATCCCATTTAAATGTTGACCAATTTAACTGCAGTGGGCTATGGGCCGGCACAGTATCTCACTTACCATTCAACAAGCAATAATGCGAAGCCCACCAAAGCATAGCCGAATTCCCTAGATTCAGCTTATCAAACACTAGCGGGTGAATCCACCAACTGCAAGCTAAATTGTGCTATGAGTATGGAAACCAGAAATGATGCTAACGGCACGAAAGTCGGATAACGCAGAAACTTGCTATGAATATCAGAAAATTCAGAGGTTGTCGCAGCCTTGCTGTATCTCTTGGATCCATCTGGTCAAGCTTCATCAGTGCTATTAGTGCGAACACTAAATAAGGCAGGGCCTACCATGGCGTAACTGTATTTCCTGAGTTTAGCTGGACAGGCACAAGCGGGCGAATCCACCAACTGCAGGCTGAATTGTGCTATGAGCGTGAAAACTAAAAAATGATGCCAATGGCACGAAGTTCAGATAGCGCGGAACCCACCATAGCGTGACTGTATTTCCTGAATTCAGCCTGACAGACACAAGCGGGTGAATCCACCAACTGCAGGCTGAATTGTGCTATGAGCGTGAAAACTAAAAAATGATGCCAGTGGCACGAAGTTCAGATAACGCGGAACCCACCATAGCGTGACTGTATTTCCTGAATTCAGCCTGACAGACACAAGCGGGTGAATCCACCAACTGCAGGCTGAATTGTGTCATGAGCGTGAAGACTAGAAAATGTCGCTAAGGGCACGAACATCAGATAACGCAGAACCCACCATGAATATCGGAAAATACAGAGGTTGCTATGGCCTTGCTGTATCTCTTGGATTCATCCTGTCAAGCTTCATCAGTCCTATGGGCACGAACACTAGAAAATGCAAGGTCCCTGGTGGATATTAGAAGATGTGTTAAAGTAAACGTTATTTATCGGTGGATCGAGTCTATATCGCTGACGAACTTGTCCACTAATCCGATCATTACATTCCAATGCAACGTTCAAGGATATAAATTCAAACTGTGCTAGGGACAATGATTGCAGATGTGCAGGAACAAGTCTATTTCACTTGATTAATACTACTATTTAACAAAGAGTCGTGTCGCAATTAAAGGAAAGTGGACACGAGCTCAAGCAACCTAGTCGGAGTCAAATACAGCATCCTCCTTCTCCTGCCTCTGAGTAGCAAGAGCACTGACAGACATTCGCGAAACAACATCTGGCGTCAAATCCTGTCGGTGATTCTTCCCGAAAACCTTTCTGCACAGGGCCCGAGTTAGCAGCAGTCCAACCGAGCTAGTCATTACCCACCTGGTCCACCACTCAAGAAGTTCGTTCACCCTTCCTCGTGCAGCCGGACCCGGGGCATTCTCAAAAAAGTCTACAATATTGCTCCAGTATATCTGATAATCAAAATCCCCATCCACGGTGCGCCAGGAGGTAATGTTAGAAAGAGCAAACCGAATCTTCAAATGAAGTGTCAACTTCGTACTAGTCAGAGGGAAGCATCAATGTTCACCTGGCAAGCTGTATACGCGATCGCGCGAGGAGTTACCTTCCGCATGCCTATAATCGAGGCGACACATGTCTTGACTTTCGTTTGATCTGATTGCCTCTGGGCGCGTCGGTGGTTCTCAATGATATCGGCGCCGTCGCCTTCGCCATCGACTTCATTGGCAGATGAGGGAGAAGTGAAGATCGCTTTAAATGCCTGCAATGCGATGTGTGATGAATTAGTTGGAAGTCATGCCACTCACCATAATTAACAGCTTCGACTTCATGAGACCGCGCTCCAGATTCTCGACGTCAGCATCGTAATCTTGATACATGAACAACGGCCACGAATTTTCAGACACGATAAAAGCAGCTGTACGGTCGCGGATACCAGCCCTGATTCTGCGCAAACATCAGTATTATACGAGTGACCGAAGACCACTACTCACACTGGGTCGTCCCACCGCCATTCCGCTGGGCAGAGTAGTTTACCACACGCATCGCTCACGAAACTGCGACGGTGCTTGTCGCTGGTCCTAATGAGTGGAGTAGGACGACAATCGTTATTCACCCATGAGGCAACGAGCTCTTTGAGAG